TTCGAGCAGAGGTAGTATTGACTCTCAACTAGTAAAATAATACTAACTGAATGGTGAAATTACACGCACGTGGGACTTGTCAACCTATGTTTTAGGGTGATGGGCGCAGTGACAGTTCTCTTTGCTATTTAAAGATCTGAGTGGCACTACAACTGTTATGGACAGACGTATATAGCTTTCCATCAGGCGCATAAAAAAATACTAGATACATTTGAACATATCTCAGTGTACTCTTAGACAGATTCAAGTGTAGTTAGTATTTTGTTCAACTTTTGTTTTAATGCTGTTCGATATCTACAAGTCTACCTTTTTTCTATTTATTGACTGATTATACGGACAAATATAAATTAAATTATATGTTTTCCTTCGTCCTGTGCAAGGCAAGCCTGCGAAACCTATATTGGTATATCTGTCACAGTCGAGTTGTATAATCGCTGCATTACAAAACGCCCTTTTGCAAACTAGGGCCGTTTTTAGAAGCGGCTAATCGACTTTCACCCAGAATGTAATACAGCTTAACAAGAGTACGTCACATTGTAATATCGCTTTGTGTTTGTCAATGAGCCTGAGCAGTGCGCAGTGCGTCGCCAATTTACAACATTGTTCTACAATCTGGCCGAAAATCAATGCTTTGAAGTTTTGTTTGCGACATTATAAATATATAATAATCATAAACAACATATTTCAATGCGCTTGATCAATATTTTTTTTATTATGTACATGGCCAACGGTTACTTTTAGTAAATCCCAAAATATGACTAAAATTAATTTACAATTACAAATAATGCATTTTCAAGGAATGCAAAAACATGTTATCGTCGTCTTCTAAACCTCGCATACGCGTTTTCACAGGCCGTTTTCACTGATTTTTATTGAGATGAAACTTATAAACTAGCTGAAATATATAAATAATATAGTATCTGAAAGAGGTATAATTTAACTACTTAATTAAAATGCTAACTACAAACATTATTGCGTTTACTACATTTAACACCACATTTTTATTCGCGTCCTGAAAAATGACATACAAATTACATTACTCTAAGACGACGATATGTAGAATAAAAATTAAACGTGCAATGTAAGTCAATGCGTGCAATGTAAAAAATTGGTTTTTTAATTTTATAGTCGTGAATTATTTTATAGCTTCTTGAACATCTTCACGTTCTATTATAACATGGATTTATAATGTATAATGACATTAGCATTCTATGTAGGAAAATTTAATTATAGAAATATTATTGAACTTAGTATTTATAAAATCGAAATATGCACCTTTTTATCGATATGCTTCTAGCAATAGAAGCTTTATTACTTGTGTTAGAACTGTAGGAAGCGGAAATAAGCAAGCAGTCTTGGAACCCATTTTAACTGCTTCACTGTAGCTAAATTGTTTTTATTGTAGATAATTATTTGAATTGTAGACAAAATGATAGTCCAGGTCAGGTCAGTATGGAGTATTCAATGGGTAGCTCTTGTAAGAGATAAGTACTTTTTTTAGGTATTTTTTTAGTGTATGTAAATTTCGTTAAATGTGGTGTGTTTGGGCCTGTCGCCAACGTTCAACCATAATGTTGACCGTTTACGATTATAATAAAATCCCGTTTTCAAGTCTAAAAGACATTGTAAGTGTTGTTAGTTATAATTTGGGCATTTCGTGTAGTACCATTTCTAGTTTTTATGAACGAATATTGTGTGTAAGCTATATTAAACAATGATGCTAATTGGTTGAATACAACGCAGTATCTCGTTCAACTGCCTTCCTCCTGCAGTTATGAAAAACACAAACGATAACAAGTTTACACAGCGGTTGCACGTCCTCCCATTATAAGTGCACCTCATCAACATTCGAGGTCTGCACTCAAATCTCGTTTCGGTCCACCATCATCTTGAAATCGATAAACCGCAAATGCCGTTCTTCCGAGACGTAGATCAGATGTCCGGCTAATGCGGCGTACCTTAACTATCCAGACTATATACTCTGGAGCACGGTTTTTACCTCGTGCCGGAGTCTGTGAGTACGTTTGCGATGACATCTGTGTCAAGCGTCTCAAGAGTTTTTCTGTTTTGTGGATTCTGGTTAAAACAGGAGTTACACAAATAATGTACTGCTGTCTCTACCAATCGCACAGTGGAGATCAGACGTCTGATGAGACTCCTAATCATTTAACAGGTTTTAATTAAAGTAATTTAAACAATTTAAAACGCTGTATGTATGTCGTCTGTAACTTGACTTCATCCGGTTCTTCGAGAGGCTAGTGCCTCGGGTGAGCCACCTCGGGTGCACGTACAGTAACCTCCCTATTTTCCATATAGGTACCGGAGCTGTAGGCACTTCCCGTTGCGCTTTGCACAACTAGCGGTTGCCACCGTTAGTCGTTGACTCTGAGTCCACTACCAAATTTCCTCTTTGGTGGCGGAGCTGTAATGCACGCTCACTTCCTGATCCCGAAAAACGACGTCTCTCCAGTTCCCAATAACCTAAGCAGCTGGAGGGACCGGAGGATGTCTAACTTATCCTCTACTAGCTCTCCGGGCTAGTGCCGGAGATGCTAGTCGCAGTGTCCTGCGACAACGTCCGGACATAGCTTCCAACTTAAAGAGCAACTCACGTGCATCGCACGACTCCTCGCTTCAGGCCCTCAACTAGACTGCTACTAAGTCGTGCTCTAGCTCTAGGTGCTCACGAGCCAGACGCCCCGGAAACATGCAAAACGGGGGCAGACAAAAATGTCCGACTCTGCAGATAACCACAAACCCCAGCGAGTCAATATCCAAGTTCGAGTTCGCAAAGGCGTATCACTGGCGGAGAGCTTGGCCCGGACGCCCGCTGTACCCTGATCTTGCCGTCGAGCCCGTAGTCTCTCCGGAAAAGCCTATCTCTCGGGTCGGTAGATAGGAACAACACCGGGACAGTTGCTTCAGCTGTACCAAGAATAAGTCCGGTCGTGCATGGAGTACTGCTGCCACCTGTGGGATGGCTCTGCTTCATACCAACTTGTGGTGGCCACCTTGAATTCAAGTGATAAGCGTACCAAGAGGTTTGCAGGTTACTCGGAATTAGTAGACGCGAAGCTGCAGAGCCTTGAACACCGTCGTAAAGTTGTGCGTATATTGGTATTCTACAGAATATATCACGGGTAGTGTGCGATGGAATTATACGATTTAATTCCACTTTCCCCTTTCCATTACCGGGAGAGTTGGGTGAGATGGAGGTCAAATACGCACATACACCAAAAACTTGTGCCCACTCAATAGATGTCGTTTACTTTATTTACATTAGTGTCACGTTGGGACTCGAATTCGAATGTGAATGCAAAATTAGCCAAAACAACAAACAAACAAAAAACCTTATGACTTTATTTGAAAAAACCTAAAAATGCTAATCTGAATCTTATACTAAATACACTTTATTTAATTTCAAAGTAGCGTTAAACACATCAGTTTTGTACTTTGGCTCCTAATCATTTAACAGGTTTTAATTAAAGTAATTTAAACAATTTAAAACGCTGTCGTTATGTATATTTATTATGTAGATCGAACCTGTGTGAAACAGTTTATACACTTACAATTAAATATATGTACAGTGTATATGAAGTGTATACTTATTTCCATAATCCTGTTTTTCACTGCGGTGAATGACGTAGAAAGTCACCTTTTGGCCTGTATTGTTCCAACATTTGCATTCGGTCTTGTACTTGAAAGTTTAATGTATTGTGTAGTTGAAAATGACTTTAAAGTGGTTTGTTTTTTCGTCTAAATATACGTTTTCATTATTTTATGATTTCAAATAGGTTAATCATTTTAAAGTCACAAAAACGTTTAAGATAAATGTTGCATTATGTTGTTTTTTCATAAGTAATTCGTGATGACGTCTTAGATATTGCAATTTTTGAATAAATGTAGGACGTAGTCTATATTATTACTCGTAATGCTTCATTAAATTCAAAGCCACCTATTTTATTGGTGTTGTCTATCTACATATAATGAACTCATTTGTTACCAAATTTTTAAAAGTTGTCGTTGTACGTATTATTTGAGATTAATGCATTGGTTTATTATTATTACCTATGAACATAAGGAAGTAATTAGAAACTTAAAAATAACTGGACCAAAAACGGAAAATTATGCTGCTATTTATGTTATTATTATTGGAATACGAAAGTCTATATGTACCTACCTAAAGAAAATGTATTTTGAATTGTGAATATTATCGCTAGCAACAAAAGTAATATCCAGTGTATATACACATACGTTTGTTCACGTACCTATAATAATCACGTGCTCTATTCACCGCAGCCTTCGGTCTTCGACTTCGCGATAATTAGTCTCTCGGCCCCCCTCTCGAGATTCCTTACTCCGGTCACGAGTGGAACATTCCTTGTGACTGACCGGCTCGTCAACGGCTTATCTACGCATATATACATGTGTTTTTGTTCGAACAAACCTCTTCTACCACGATTCTCTCTAATACTTAACAGATATTAAATGAGAGTGATATATTTTATTATGAGGATTTTCGGTTGAGTGTCTTATTCGCACCCTTAGTAAAATAAGGGCACAATCCAAAAAAAGTAGATTTTTGGGAAATTTGGGAATTGATAGGGACTTAAATAATAAATGGGATCAAACTTATATAGCTCCATATTTCTGTTATATTTTTTGTACTATATGGGTCTAACTTGAAAGTGTTTTTTTAACTTGCTTGAAACTTATGGAATTTATTTATATTATTTTTTATTTATTGCTATTTATAATACATTTATCAAAGAACAAATCTGCCAAATTTCATATTTATAACTTAAATAATAAGCATATTATTTGAAGAAATAGGTGTAATGTAGGAATCCAGAATCTTAATACGCGATTTCCCAAAAATCTACTTTTTTTGGATTGTGCCCTTATATTACTAAGGGTGCGTATTGCAGCAAACGTGAACTCGAAACAGATATGCTTCGAATTAAAACCAAGAACGGCTTATTTATTATATATTTAATGCATACCTAAATAAAATTTACTATAGTACTACTACTATACCTACTACTATAACCCATTATACCCTTATGTTATGATTTAAAATCACAATCTTAAATCAATTCGAGATCGACCATAACACGCACAGCATTCATTAAATTTGTTATCTGATGCACGGTGCTTAACGGACCCAACGGCCACAATTTTTCTAGTGGAATTATTTCCACACCCGCGTATTTTTCTTCGAAATTCTCTAGAACATTACACCAACCACTACTCCCTAGTAAAGGAATGGAAGTTGATGCAGCCAGCAATCCAAACTTTCCATATTTCTTCAATTCACTATTCAAATCATCCCATGAAAACACTTTCTCATCGACACCCATGTCTCTCAAATAATAAACAAAGTGATCATAGTATAATCTGATGGCTTCGATGAATTTGTCTTTAGTAGGACACGAGTTTATGGACAGCAGTAAGAAATAAGTCAAATCGGCGACTGGAGAAGTACATCTTACTAGCTGGAAATCGATGGCAATGGCCTGGTCTTTGGAGCATAAAAAATTTAGTGACCATGCGTCGCCGTGGTTGAAAACCATGTGGTCACTGTTACATAGTAGATCCACTAGTTGGCCGTAAGGGTCGTTAGACGCAATTTCAAAGAATTTCTTATAATAAATACTATTTGAAGGATCTTCAATCTTCTTAAGGGCTTTCAAGTCAAGATCCAATGCTCTTTTAAGATAGTTTGCATAGAGTTGTCGTCTGTCTTCTGTATAGTATAATTCAATTAAAGAATTTTTCAGTTTCGTAAATTCTTCAGGTTTTTTGATACGCATACCCATGGACACAGCATGCAAGTGAGCCAATGTCCTCAAAATCTTGTTACATTCGCAAACAGTTGGATGAACGGACACAGATGAATAATTGCGCTCTGTTATATCCTCCAACAAAATGTAATCCGAAATGCCATCGCAATGATATGCATAACAAATCGGGACAACGCTTTGTATCGTTTCTGTTGCTCCAGAAGATTTCTGTACTTTTTCCAAGGTTGGCACAACTTTTGAATAGAAGAAGATCTCCCTTTGGAAGAATATTTCAGAAGGAAGCGACTTTCTTAACAAACGATCTCTGACCAGAGTCTTGGCAATGAAGTTGGCGGAGTGATCCTTGCCCTTCACTTTAATTCTGTAGACAGCTCCTATGAGGCCTGCTCCTGTTGGGCTTAGTTGCAATGATTGTATTGTATCCTCTGTCCCGATTCTAAGTTGAAAAGCCCTTTGCACAACGTCCTCCGTCAAATGTATTGATATATCCTGAAGTGTTAATTGCGCCATGGTGACGTTACTTCTCGTAAAATCTTATTTTGGAACTTAAATTTATATTCTTCTCTGTTTATGCACAAATAGTTAAAGATAAACGAACATGACATTGTTGACTGTGGTTAATTTTCTGCAAATGTTGATTATTTACAAATTTCTGTTTAATTAATGATGTAGAACCATTTATACCGTTCTATTTGCTCAAATCGCGACTCGTATGTCGTAAATTTTACCTGCTTGTTGTGTAGGTATCCTGTACCTAGGGGATTTTTATTGTTTATCTTTTTTGTTTATTAATTGTCAATTTCAGTTCAGTAAAATATTGAGTATTTTATGATCGCCCCAATTATGTAAAAATTAATTATTGTTTACCTATACGAGGCATTGAGGGTTTGCATTCCTGATATATGAAAAATACTGTGGACACGTTCTATTCTAAGGACTCGTCTATTTTAATTAGCCTCCATCATACTGGCCCAATGTTTGATGGTGAATGTAAACAGACGTCATCGTATTCGCGAGTCTATGAAGAACAGACTTGGGTTGTCGTGACGAGACACGGTCTTGCCTTGCACGAATGGCCGCCAGCGTCCGCGCATTGCTTTACGCTACCATTTCTCACTCTACACTCTTTGTACCTGGAACATTATTTATCATTACAACACTTAGATTATCTGCATAAGCCGTCAGATTTACCTTAGCTACATTGCATAATGTAGTCTAGTTTTGAATTTGCTGTGATTTTTTGAGAAATTCCAAACAGTCAAATGTGGGAATTGCGTTCATGTTTGCAGAAAAGAGATTACAAATAAATACTAGTTTACCGTGAATGACGCAATATTTGTAACTAATCAGAAGTTACATTTATTTACAAATCAAATAGTTATTCGTACCTGTATTTGTCTGTGCTGATGTATGTTGATTTTCATCACCATCAGCAATTAGCATGATATTGTTAAGTAGGTTGAATGATACTTTTTCAATAT